AAATCGTTAGAGATTGAGATATGATAATAGATATCTAATAGGGTAGGGTTTAATAAGAAGAAGACGGTGAAGGGTTAATTAAGGAAATATATAATTAATGGATATTTATCTCTCAAATCCTGTCAAATCTTAGCTTTTTAAACTGGATTTGAAACGCAATTAAAAAGGTATTTGAAATCCCATAATTGTTTGATTGTGTGGTTCCAAACAAGGCAGTCCATCTTTCCAAATCCAAATCCAAATCCTATCAAATCCTGCATTCCAAACAAAGTGTAAATGGGACTTGGGATGTTTTTATTTTAAAATGGCATGAAATTATATAAATATAGTTAGCTTGGATTGGATTTATTATAATTTGAAATAAAAATAAATAGCCTTTAGGAAATATAGTATTATTTATCTACTTAAAATCATATTTTTACAACTTAACGTTTTGTCCTTAACTGCACTTTTTTAATAATTTAAGGGTTGTTCTTAATTTAGGTTGGTTTTGTGAAATTGACTAATAGATGAGGTGAATTTTATCCATTTTACCTTTATTTTATTATATTCATGCCTTATTTTCTTTTCTATTTATTTATTTATGAATTATATCTAATTAATTCATCCTAAATTCGTTTTAGTTGGTTTGGCCGCCGGTCACTATCACAATATTATTATTATTAGGGCTGATTACGGATCGGATCGGTTCGATTTGGAGGTAAAGTTCAATCCAATCAGGTCCCCATGGATTGGTAAAATTTGAAACCAAACCGATACGTGGGGACCTTCAATCCTAACCAAACCGATCCGGATCAGTTGGGTTTCCACATATTGGGCTTTTCAAACAGCCCAATATGATTACACTTTATGCCCATTAAAATTTCAAATTAGTAATTAAAAAACCTGTAATGACTAATGACTTTGGTGACCTAGTGTTAATTAAAGTCTTAAATAATGAATAAATAATAAAATAGAAATACAGTAAGATATATATATATATATATATATATATATATATATATATATATATATAATATTAATATTTAGGGTAAAGTACAGAGACGCCCCTGAGGTTTGGGGTAAGGACAAACAGATGAAAGTTTGGCTATTTTTGGACAACCACACCCCCTCGTTAAATTTGCCATCCAAACAGAGCCTTAAAACATGTGAAAAGTCTATTTTACCCTTCACTATTTTATTAATTTTAATTATAAAATATCAAAATTCTTAAATGACCAAATTATCTTTTCTTCATATATATATATATATATATATATATATATATATACACACACCTACACAACAGTCACCATCAACCCCATCTCAGACCGGAAGATGAGAGAAAACCAGGAATAAACGAAAAAATAAATAAACTCTATATCATTAACTCCGACAAAGTATAGGAATTTCATATCAGGTTTAAAGTAACAACGCAGACACGAAGAAGAGACCAGCCACAGATCCACCGACCGTCAATCTATTCAAAGCGGCACCATTGGGAGTCGATGACAGAGATCCTCCCGAAGCTGAAGAGAACGACGGAGGCATGGGGGTACCGAAGGGAGACAAAGTAGGAGCGTCGGAGGTTGGGGGACTAAGCAGAGAAGCAATCAGAAAGGTCGGGGCAGTACCGCCTGCGGCGTAGAAGACGACGAGGTTGAAAAGGTAATTTCAACATTCAAATTGGTCAATATAAAAGTAAATGGGCAAAAATGTCAATTCATTACCATTGGGGTGTCTTTGATAACTGTATCAAACTTGAGGGGATGTCTTTGTTCCAAAATAGGCTAAGTTCCATCTGTATCCTTTTGACAAACCTCAGGGAGTGTTGTTGTACTTTACCCTTATTTATAATTAAGGTAACATCGGATCGGTTCGGTTAACGAATTGGAAATATAAAGAAAATATATTAATATATAATAAATAGTTTAGTCTTTCTAATTAGACAAAGAAATGTATAAAAGATATAAATAATTTAATCCTTTTATAAAACTCAAATTACCTCTTTATTATGAGTTTTTTTTTTAATAAAATTAAATCTAATTAGTTAAGGAAATATATAAAGAAAATAATTAATTTAGTCTTTCTAATTAGACAAGGAAATATATAAAAAAAAATATAAATAATTTAGTCTATTTAGTCTCCACATCTTTTCTACTTTTATAAATAATATATAAATAAATACAATATTAGAAAATTGTAATAAAAAATAGTCTTTATTTTGATATTATTTTAGTAGTTTCAAAATACATCTATCAATAATTGAATTTCTATTGTAAAGTTTAATTAAAAATTATATTTTTATCTCTTTTACCTTGTGTCAATTTTATGTTAATGTATAATTTATTATTTATAATTATTTAATTATATTTTTTAAATATTGATTTTAAATTAGATTTTACTCACATGAAATAGTATATTATTTTTAATAATAAATTTATATGTTCCATATGTAAGTTTCCTTTTAGAATAACACAAATTATCTATTTATTATGAGTTTTTATTTTAAAATTAATATAAGATGTTTAGAAGAGTTTCTATATGTTGAACCAAGAGGGGGGTGAATTGGTTAAAACATTACTTGATTTTAATTCCTCATGACAATTAAACAAGCATTCAAAGATCAGTACAAACAAGGTTTACAAGAAAACCCTCTTAACTAGGGAAAACCTTGGTTCTTGACCTCAGCCAATATGAAGTCCACTATTAGATGTATGTATCTTGTTACACACTTAGCTGTCTCACTCTCTGCACACACCCAAGTACAAGAATAGACACTAGTTTTCAAAACTAATACACACACTAGTTCACCACAGTGTACACAAGCACTCCCCCTGTCTTAAGCAACCTTGCTTGGACTCAATAAGCTCTTATAGCTCACTACACACACCATTACTGATGTAAATCAATATAAACAAGTCTTTCCTACAATCAAAATAGGCTAGACAACACAGAACTCCAAGTTACTACCTCAAAACCACAATTTGCTGCAATTAGGGTTTGAGGGGTAAAATGGGAATTTCCTGTCGAGATCAATTCACCAGCTCCTTACACAGTCTTCTTTCACTGTAGTACTCACATTCATAGCTTTAAACAATTAAACATAGCATGAGTATATAACAAAGTTGATTCACAACACTAGCTTCAGCTCAGAACAGTACACAGATAGGGTTTTCAACACTCAAGTTCAAAGCATACCATTATAAAATTCCACAGCCAACTTTAACAGCCTTGATTCATCAAAATATACTTGCTAGCACTCAAATAAGTCATTAAACAGCAAGTCTTAATCATATTGTACTCAAATCACATCATTAACACCAGAAAATAGCCTCAAGCACAGGTATTAGAGATCAAAATCACTTTCAGCATGTTTCAGTGCAAAACAGTGTACTGAGTAAGTGTAAATAACTTAGTTATACCTATGACAGCCCTTGGAAATGACCACAGCAGCTTGGAACTCAAAATCACTACTCAATCCAGCCCTTGCACCAATAAACTTGACAGCAGCATCATCTCAGCACTTTGTATACACATCTCAGCATCCTCCTTGAAACTCAGCATCTTTTCAATTTCTAGGACAGCTTTGCTGCGCAGACTTTGAACAGCCATATCTCATTCATTTCTAATCCAAATTAGGTCATTCTTGAGTCAATTTTCAAGAGCTTTAAGTCAGCTTTCCAATGGTACCAACCACACATAGAAACTCCAACCGTGGTGAGAGTTATAGTAGTTTTAGTGAGACAGGGTATCTCTTAACTAGGGAAACGTCGTTTGTTCCACCTTTTCCGTTAGGGTCTAGAATCTTGAGAAATGCCCATATATGATTAGTACGTCATATATTATCCTTGTTGACACATTTTTTGGTCACTTTAACCATGTAGTTGATGTGGCGCTTTGCTTCTGCGTTGTTTCTTTTCAAGTCTCATGACTTCTCGGGAAGTCACTTCGGCGTTTTAGAGGTGGTGTCCATCTCTAGAGACCCTACCCCTTTTTCTTGCTTCCTCGTTTGGAATTCGTTATCAAATCAGTTTTCGGGTTACTCGCTGACACACCAGATTCTTTGAAATTCGGGTTGTCACATATTTACTATTAAATGACCATAATATTGTTTTCCTATATAATTTCACTTAATCTATTTTTTTTAATTAAAATAAATTATGAAGAAAAATATACTAATTACCTTTAATTTTTTATATTAATTGTTTAAATAAAAATCCTAAGTAAAAAACTTTAAAATAATTTAAGTAATTTCTTAATTTCATGAATATATTGCATGAAAAAGGAAGTATTTTTTATTTGAGTAATTCATTAATTTTTCCATTGATATATTGTATGAAAAAGAAGGAATTTTTTTACGAAGTATATTTATTATAAAAATTAAAGTTGTAATAATAAATTAATAATTTTAGAAAATGGTATTTTCAAATCTTTTTTTTTTTTTTTTTTTTTTTTTTTCTATTTTGGTATAATTAATATTTAGATAAGAGATAATAAAAAAATATAATACAAAATGATAAATTTAATGAGAAAGAGTAAAATAGTTTTTGTGACAAGTTTGTCCTTAATTACAATAAATTAATAATTCACGGCGTCGTTTGTAGTTTAAATGGGTTATTTGCAAAAGAGCCAGAGCAATATAAATACATATTGACATATATATAAAGAGATGGAAGAACAATACATAAAATTTGATTTTTAGTAATTAAATATCACTACAAGGGTAATAAAGCCATTTGGTATGGTTGTACAGGGTATCATACTCACATCATGTTCATTTGCTATTGATCCACATCAGAACATCGGATAGCGTACATGGTCCGACCAGGGTGAGAACCCAAGTATCGTCCAACCAAAATATGCAGCACTAAAAGAGTTGAGGAATTAGATAATAAAAAATAAATAAAGGGAGGAGGTGGCATAGCAAACATGACTTTTAAAAATGTGGGGAAAACTGTTCTATCAATTCTACAATGGGCTTGTATTCCAACCAAACATAGAAGAGACTAGATCAAATGTAGTCAACAAATAAACTATATAACATCGACTTCAAATTTCTATACAACAAAAAGATCAATCATCCGTTTAAACCCAAAATCAACATCCAAAAACTGGTGATTGATTTGAGGACTGATAATTTACCATGTGAATAATCTTCCCAATAACACACAATATACAAGAAGAAGATCAATCATCTGTTTAAACCCAAAATCAACATCCAAAAACTAATTCTGTTTAAACCCAAAACCAACATCCAAAAACTGGTGATTGATTTGGGGACTGATAATTTACCAGATAACCAAATAACCACACGTGGTTGGAAGAATAATCTTCCCAATAACACAATCTTTAATAGAGACCAGCTTTTTTTAAGGCAGCCTCAAAATCCTCCTCGCTGTTCCAGGACCGGACCTGCGTTACATAGCAGCAACATAAGGTGGTGATATAACTATATCAAAGTTTCTCGTACCCATCTTACAACTACTACATTTATACTTGTATTATTACAAGAAAAGTATAGGAACATGCAACTTAAAATCTTACTACAGCTACTCTTACAACTAGTTTCGGATTCCAAAGTATTCCATAATCCTTCCCCACATTATTTTAAGTCATAAAAGGAGTCTCACCTCGTCCACTTGGGTGTTAAAGTGCTTCTCTATCTTCTCCATTAGCATAATATCTCTATCAAAGCACAACAAGTTGAATACGGCTGCTGTAGAATTAAATACAAAACAGGAAACAAATACTGCTTAATATTCCATTAGAGGCTTTGACAATATCTCTACCAACAATGAAGCAAATGCACAATGGGGAGTTGGCACTTCATTCTGAGACGAAAAAAATGGCTTCAAATCTTCTAATATTACATTATAGTATTATACTTGAACAAGGAGAGCATAAAAAATAAACAAGCCACCAACAACTAGCTGGAGTTTATAAATGTTTAAACCAGAACCATTTTTTTTTTGTAAGACCTCGTTTCATATACAAGCCTACAAATCCAACCTACAAGGTTGGCGTCACCCTGTGAGGCTTTGACAGTTAGCTAGAAGCAGATTTATGACTCCAGGAAGCCTAGGTACAGAAAAATCCTAACCAACACGATACTTAATCAATATGAAGTTCTTCCTTAATTCCACGCAATGTTTTGGTTAGGCCAGGTTGATCACGTTGAATGTCCACAAAAGAGGGAACTCACATAACTAAAGATACTCCTAAAGTTCTGGATTGCATGCAGGAAAACAAAAATACAGCTGAAGTTCTTTAGGCAAGACTGAGCAAAATCATAGGATAGTATAATTTCAGCATTCCAAATCCAGGATCTGACTGTCAAACAAATTATTTAAGACCTGGACTTCCCAGAAGTTAAAAAAACACAACACGTGATGTTTATCCCCAGCCCAATAAAAAAAAAAATTAAAAAAAAAAAATGACATTGACAACCACAGCCCAGAAAGTTTATTTTGAAGAATCCCAATCACAGCTGCAGTTTCAAACACCTTAAAAATTAGCAACTGAACAATATTTAACAGTGATCACCATAGTAAGTAAAATACGGTACGGGGAAAATACGGGTACGGAAATGTACGAGTATAATTCGATATTTTTTTTTAAAATACGTTTAAAAAATTCGTTTAAAAAAAAGGGAAACGTAAAAATACGAATACTGATGCATATGTATATAATACGTTATATGCACTAAAAATTCGGGACCAAAAATTCAACTATATACATCTTATTATTTTCTTATATATCATATGTTTGTAAGGACAATGAATAATAGGTAACAATAATAAAATAAATATATTACAATTAACACTATCACAATAATCATAACAGAAATAAACTATCTAAATATAATTAATCAATAACCATTGGTCCATAATATGAAAAAAAATTCTAATTCAATTAATTAACTGTGTCGCCTAAATTAAAAATAAAATGCAGCTGCTTGAACCTCTTAGGGTACTCTTGAACAAATTTCAAAATCTCTACCTTTTACCCCGGATAAATGTGATTTGACTATTAAAACACCTCCATGATAGTTAGAGTTTTGTTCAAAATAAGTCAACAGTATTTGCACGAGTGAACAGTCTGATGAAGAAAAAAAAAAGATACCCCCAAGTCGAGAGACTTTACCCTTGCGGCCGAAACGTCCTGCCCTGCTAATCCGATGCAAGTATACCTCATAGTCAGGCTCCGATGGAGTTTCGTAATTCACAGGAAGATCATAATTGACAACCAGATTAACCTGAAATAAAACATGTTATGAAGTCTATATTTTGTGCAATAAAAAGAAAAATAAAAAATAGGTAAAAAGAGATAAAAATGAGCACCTCTGCTTGATCAAAACCCCGGGCGAGGAGGTCAGTTGAAATAAGAACTTGAATGAATCCATTTTTAAATTCCTTGATTATCTTGTCCCTGTCATCTTGCATAAGAGCACCTTGAATGGTAGTCACCTCATAGCCATGTTCCACAAGTGCTTGATGCAACATGCTTGCACTATTTCTTGTGCGAACAAAAATAATGCTCTGCCCCACCTTATTTCCCAATTCAAAAATTCTGTCTTTAATTACCTTTATCTTTGAAAGTTCATCGGGGCAGTTTACCTTGTACCACTGCTTCACAGACTCCGAGGACAGCTCTTCTTTGTTCACAAACATTTGATTGTAATCATTCTTGAAGAGATCTTTAACAATTTTTGATACAAAATTCCTGACAGCATCATCAAAAGTTGCAGAAAACAAAAGCACCTGGTAATAATTTGCGACAACAGGTAGAAGGGTGTCAGGCATGCAGTCCCATCGTGAAAGCACAAAGAAATTCTTGGGGAGGGTCAGTGTAATTTACCCAAAATAATATAATATAATATGGTATAATATAAATATATTTGCATTAATAAAGGGAAGAATAGGACAATCTCTAAATAATTAAAACATGTGTCAACAACTTATTTTTTCTGCAGCAAACCATAATGCACTAAAATTCACTCATATAAACTCCTTTTTCTCTTTGCTTTAACAAGAAAGAGAATTATTAAAGCAAAGAAATACAAAGAAAGGGACAATAAAAGGAGCAAACCTAAAAAATAAAATACATTCTCTCAAAAACGAACAAATGTTTGTCACTTTGGCTGGAGAAAAATCTCTATTCGTTCTATATATTTTCACACATGGATTTCATTTTTCCCCTCAAATAAGAAATGATATTGAAGGGGATATAATCATTTTCCAAAAGCTCTAAAGTAATTCAATTAAATAAATACATTGCAAGTTGCACGAGATTCATAATTTAAAATCTATAGAAGAAGACATGTACCACGGGAAACAAGCATATCCTTCTATATCACAACTGGATTGAAATATGTAATCTTAAAACCTACACAACTGTTGAAAAGAGAACTACATCTACTTTAATCCCAGTCATAATAAACTGGCCATTTCAGATACCACAGTCGAATCAAATCTGAAATTATCGAAACAAGATCCATCATATGTGCATGATTATATATTTTCATTTATTATTAAATATTGTGACTACTTTATTTTATAAAATTATGAAGTTCTATAATAGAATTTTAATGGTGTTAGAACAGTCGGTTCCCCTTAACTACCGTTTGAATACACAACTATCAAAAAGTTTCGTTTCAAAAAGTACCATACTGAAATATCCAGAATCTGGGAACTCTCAAATATGATACATAGGGATGGCAATGGGGCGGGGATTTCATTCCCCATTCCCGTTTAATTTTTCCACCCCCATAACCGCCCCAAAACCCATTGGATTTTTCAAAGCAGCTTCCATCCCCGTCCCCATTTACATAATCGGTTCCCCAAAACTGCCCCAAATGGGGTGGGGCCTCACTGGGGTGAGAATTTTTGTCATCCTTATTATATATAAACTTATTTTATTAATATATCATAATAAGTAAGGGTAATTTAATAAATTTATAGTATATTCGGGGCGGGATAGGGCGGGGCAACCATCCCCCGAATTTTTGCCATTCTTTTCTCTAGGTATCATATATAGGGTAGTAGACTAGTAGTACAATGGTTGTTGGATCAAAATAGATGGTTAGGATTTAATATTTTCATAATAATAACAAAATAACAATTCATTAATAATATTATTTGGGCCCGGATTAGATCGGGTTGTAAAAACCCGGCCCGATGATGATTTTTTTCTCTTGTATCAGACCAATATTTTGGATTCTTCTTAAAATAGGGACGCTTATCCAGGCTTTTCTGATTCTCTCATCTAGAAAGATTTCCTGTATGGAAACCCATTGATTGGACCACTCATTAATTTAAAAGTCTTGCTCCAGCATTGGAGCTTCTACGGTGGTCTATCACCGACTATGACTGAAAGAGTTGTTGATTCATGATTACTCCAACAACATTAACATTGAAACTTCTCTCCTGGCCACCGGCAGGAGCGTGAATATTCCTGGCTGATGGGGGAGCTCTCGTCAATCTTAACCTTGAAAATGTCTCTCTATCCCAAGGAAGAGAGATATTGTGTTTCCACATTTCTGATTCCGTCGTAGCAGTTCTCATGAACACATCAACATTTTCATCTATTGTATTCTTTTTCTTCCTTAATTTCAATTTTCTAAGCGTTTTATCCAAACCTGCTTTGAATGAAGAAGTCATTTTGTTGCAAGAATTAACAAGCCCTTAATGTCGTTGTGGCCAACTCGCAAAAATTTAGGGTTAACTTGCATTAACCCATTGGAGTCGAGTTCGGATCACTTGTCCACTATTATCTACTTCTATTTTGTTTTTGCTTCTTAGGTCATCTCATATAAATAAAAGGTATCAATTTTATTTCCGAGAAGAGGGTTGATTCTTCTGGAAATCTGCAGTTTCTCTTTGAATAAGTTTTCCAATTCCAGTATCTTTCCAAAAATAGAATCATGAATTCAGTTTATATAATACCACCTCACCTCTCCCTTCCTCCTTCTTATTCATTCTTGCAACAAAATGGCTTCTTCATTCAAAGCAGGTTTGGATAAAGTGCTTAGAAAATTGATATTATGGAAGAAAAAGAATACAAGAGATGAAAATGTTGATTTGTTCATGAGCACTACTACGACGGAACCACAAATGAGGAAACACAATATCTCTCTTTCTGGGGATAAAGAGACGTTTTCAAGGTCAGGATCGATGAGAGCTCCCCCATCAGCCAAGAATATTCATGCTCCCGCTGGCAGTCAGGAGAGAAGCTCCAATGTTAATGTTGTTAGAGCAATTATGAATCAACAACTCTCTCGGTCACAATCGGTGATAAACCACCGTAAAAGCTCCAATGCTGGAGTAAGACTTTCAAATTAATGGGTGGTCCAATTAATGGGTTTCCATGCAGAAAAAATTCTTTCCATATGAGATAATCAAAAAAGCCCGAATAAGCGCCTCTATTTTAAGAAACCCCCAAAATATTGGTATATGCATTGTCCAGGTATGATATTCTATTACAAGAGAAAAATGAAAAAAAACACAACAAAAATCATCATCGAGCCGATATTTACAACCCAATCTAATCCGGGCCCAAATAATATCATTAATGAATTGTTATATTATTATTATTATTATTAAAATATTAAAATTAAATCCTAACCATTTATTTTGAACCAACAATCATTGTACTACTATTCTATTACCATGTATATGATATCTAGAGAAAGGAATGGCAAAAATTCCCACCCCGGGCCCATCCCATTTGGGGGCGATTTTGGAGAACCCATAGTATTTAAATGCGCGCATAGGCTCCAAAAAAGCCCCAGGCTCGTCAAGGCTCATCTCGAGCGCCTCAACCTACTACAGGCCAGGCCCTTCAATCAGGCTCACATAAAGCCCTCAGGCTCAAAAAAAGGCGCGCCTTGTATTTTTTAATCATTTATTCATATCACCTTCTTTTTTTCTTATTGACTACAAAATTAAAAGGTTCTATATCATATACCGTATTGTTTAACCTTATGAAATATTTGACAAAATTCATAAATTTATGATTCATTACTTACATTAACTGCAATTACAGCTTGATTATGAATATATATAATAAAATATGCATTATTATCTACACGCGCCTTACTTCGATCAGGCTCGAGCCTTATACTGCGCCTTGCGCTTAGGCTCCAGGAGGCCTTTGGCGCCTTAGTGCGCCTCGAGCCTTTAACAACTATGGGAGAACCGATTATGTAAATGGGGATCGGAATGGAGTCTAATTTGAAAAACCCAGCGGGTTTTTTTTGGGCGGTTTCAGGGGATGGTTGCCCCGCCCTATCCCTCCCCGAATATACTATAAATTTATTAAATGACCCTTACATATTATGATATATTAATAAAATGAGTAAAGTATATATATTAGGAATGACCAAAATTATCACCCTAGCGAGGCCCCACCCCGTTTGGGGCAATTTTGGGGAACCGATTATGTAAATGGGGATGGAGATGGAGGCTGCTTTGAAAAATCTGATGGGTTTTAGGCAGTCATGGGGGTGGGAAATTAAACGGGGATGGGGAATGAAATCCCCGCCCCATTGCCATACCTAATGATTGATACATATGCATATATATTCCTATCCAGATCTAGAAACCATCATATTTTACCGTTCTTAGTTTGGGTCAACACCTCTTTTCCAGAATCCTATTCTAAGAAATCAAAAACATGTACCATAAAATACAACAAAAATACCTTTTTTCCCAGCAACTTAGAGGGAGGGTACATGAATTCTATTTTTTCATTTCTCTCTCTATCTAAAGGTCATTGCCCAAGTCAAACCACATTTTATCATATCCTACCTTGCTAACTCTACCCACTTAACTTTGAACTTCCCCTTCACTTAGTATTACCTTCAATGTTCACCATGTCATTCTTCCTAATTGGCACACTTATCCAAACCATCTTAATCGATTTTCTCCATCTCCAATTGATGCTACTTTAGCCATTTCACGAATCTATCATTTCTTGTCTAGCCGTATGTCCATCTCAAAGTTTGCATTTATATCACACTCGCTTTATGCATATATTGTTCTTAGTTGCCCAAAATGTTTCTCCAATTGTCCAATATATGTTTCATTTGAACTGAAAAACATTTGCGCTAGCCTCATGAAAATACAAGGAAGTAGAAACTAGTGGGTGTATTGAGCCTTAACTAATTACATTGAACTTAGTGTTCATCCTCTTTCTTTCTTTAGTTAAAGGAGTTTTGATGGAAGTAGTCTTGACAAGAAGTACATAGAACAAAAAGTAAAAATTCAAGCTAAGCTCCCCCTCTAGCATCATTTAGACTTTTAAAACAAGATTCAAACTACAATATGTTCAAACTGTCTCTGACATGAAATATAACAAGCTAAGTAGTCATACATCATAGTGCGTTCAAAGTGAACTAGCAGTATATTTATCTATCTGTATTATTCTACTCAGAGTCGTGGCTACTGTTTCCAACTCAGAGAAGGCTTTACCATATATCCAAATACTCTACTATTGTTGAGCCTCTTTACCCAGCCAATGAGAAGAGGGAAAAGGGGGGGGGAGAGAGAGAGAGAGAAAGGGGAACTCAAGATCATATTTTTCCAATTACACCATAAAGTAGAACGTAAAAAAAAATTATAAGTGGGTGTGCAAAAAGCAAGCTTATTATTAAATCACCTAGTTCAAGAAGCATAATAACAGATAAGTGCAACAAACCTGGCAGTCAGAATTGCATTTAACAATCGCCTTCATAATCCTCAAGGAGTCATCCTTAAAGCCAGTCTGCACAAAAGATTGATAAGCAATCAAGGATTAACAGAAAGTTTATAGAACATAAAAATTATTTTGTTAGTCAATCCCATTTTCATATACAACTTAAATTTTCTGCAGTGTGTAATTACTTACAGAATTAACAAAAAGTGATGCATCATTACTTGAATAATAGTTAGGACCATTGCTTGGTGTGGTGACAAACCCTAGGCTGCTAATAAAGCCAAAGGTCAATCATATACCTTGTATACCCAGTCCACCAATCCCAACACCCATGACAAATGAGAACCACATTAGGAAATGGCCTTTATTCCTTATATAATACATTTCCTTGTACGATAAATCAATCAAGGTAAAAGCATCTTTGCTTAACACTACCAAGCAACTAATAGTAAGCGGACTAAAATTGCATGTTAACCTAGATATAAAAGATTGGGTATCATTCCAAAATCAATGACATATTAAATTTCACTATATTCAGCACCGTGCTCCAAGACAATATAAACTTTACATCAAATAACTTGGCAAGCTCAGCCTAACTCTGCCAAACCTCATAATTGTTCCAACAGGCCTGGCCTAGCGGTACCAAACCCCTGCTTCTCAAAGAGAGGTCAGGGGTTCGAGCCTCAATGGAGGCATGTGTGTGTGAGTACCCAACTAGGAAGAAAAAAAAAAAAAAAATGAGATACAACCAGTACAATTTGGCACAACACTTAAAAGAGATGCAAAAGATTGCTCCAAAACAGCAATTCAAGAGTTAAGTAAAGGACAGGTTGAACCTAAGAAAAGTGTGTACACCATATATCCTGTTCTTGATCCCACGTGCTCAACTCAAATGATTGAAGAAGCAAAATACTTGACACACCAAGGGACTCTTCTCTATAGGTACACTTCAACGTTTATAAAGTATAAAGAACCACTTGACTATTTGTGTGTCTTAAAAGGACACATAACCAATAGCATCCATTATTAAAATACTTTATGCAATAAAATATTTAAGGACTACAATTTCAATCAAGTTATCTAGTTGCATGTATGTGTATACATACAAATATATTATATAGAAAGTTTCTAATTAGAATTGCTCTGTAGAGAGGAGAAGATGTTGACAAGATAGGGAAGACATGAACTTGGGATGATTGTAACCAAAAAAAAATATGTAGCGGATAAAAATGGACATGACAAAAAAGGGTAATATTGTTAGGATGCACCAAGCAAATTTTTTTTTTTTTTTTTTGACAAAACAAAAAAGGAACACTATCTAGATAACATTAATAAAGAAAAAATTATACAATAAACTCCATGTATTAATTTTAAACTCCTGGGACAAATTAGTAATTAAAGCTTCTCCTATTTAAATGTGACAGCCCTGGATTTTTCAACCCAGTGGGTCCTATGATGACCCGAAGGTTGACCTGATAACAGATTCCAAATGCGAAAGCAAAAGGGAGAAACAAGGAATCTAAAGATGTATGTCATCCCTGAGACACAAAGGAGACTTCCCGAAGAGTCCCGAGACACAACAGAAGCAAAACGGATGCAAGGGTTTCAAAACCCTACAAGAAAAGGGCCGAGGGTAAAACAGTCATTTCACCCAGCCGAGACCTCGAATGCGGATGCAAAAGGTTAAACCAAGGTCTCTAGAGATGCGCATCATCTCTAAGACACAAAAGTGGCTTCCTATGAAGCCGTGGAACTCAAAAGAAAAACAAAAGCAGAAGCAAAGTTTTGAAAACGATTAAGTACAACCTTAGGGGTAAAATAGTCTTTTTAAAATAGAAGTGGGAGATACCGAGCACACCATTATAAAGACAACAAAAAATTAATAAAATTAAACTCAAGAATCACTTGATTTGGAGTTCGGACGGCCAAGATATGAAGTCCCGAAGTTTTGAAGACAAACAAAAAAAAATGCCAAGTAGCAGCAAGGTCAGGTGCGATCAATTGCATCCAGTGCGATCAAAGAAAGTGTGATCGCACTGCAGGCGTGATCACAGGGCTGCACAAGAAATGATATTTTGAAATGTGGTTTTGAGGCCTTAAATGACATTTTTGGGAAAAAAATTGTGAAGTAACCCCCCTAAAATCATGTTTTCTGGTCAACCATGTCAAAACCAAGTCTTATTTTTCAAGTGAAATACCCATAATGCCCTTAAGCTCAGATTTTGTGAAAAATGTGAAAATACTTGAACCTGCAAACATTCATTTCATGCAAATGTGGTGTTGTGTGCAAAGTGAGCATACACGCAAACGTAATATACATATTTACACGCGTTCCAATGGCCAAAAACCTTAATACATATCATTTGCAAAATATCATATGTCAAACGTCAAGTTCATAAAATTGTTTTTGTAATTAACATACGAAACCAAAGTGCATAGATGTAAATCAAAAGATATTTGCCCTTGGCCACATATCATAAATATAAAAAGAGTCTCAAAGGGTGCACTTAGGTACACATTGCATACTCCAAGGTAAAAACGGCATGTTGAAACTAAGCCTGATATTACAATTTCATAAGAAAGCATGACAAGCTAACACTTGCATGCATATAAAATTACACAAAGAGTACCCAAAACTACTAAGCCAACCTAGGGATGTTGTGCATCTCAAAACAAGTCTCCTTACTTGAAAAATATCCCACACAACTAGGGTGAGTAAACAAGTTACTTGCAGGAAAAACATACGTATGACCTAAAGTTTTAATGAATTTGCAAGTTATATATAGACCGAATCCACACGGAGCATGCTACCTAACGTCTAAGTTCAATAAGGAAGCTAAAGGATACCTTAAAGCTACAATTGAAACATATTATAAATCATTTGCAACAAATGAACTCAACAAGATACAACTTCAAAAGTATTGTCAACTTGTAAATGAAAGCAAAAGCAAACGATGAGCATATACTGTGATAACAATAACCACAAAGCTAAAAGGATAACAAGGCAAACATCACTCCAAGAGTTACCAAATAATTTGCCCATAGACTCCACTATGATGCAACTCACACATGTACTCCATGATGCAATGTAGTGAAAAGAGATACCGGAATCAAATCCCGGATATCAAAAGAGAATTGGTGCACTTCCGCACCCCATTGGCCAATGTGCTATGGGACCTTCCACCCACTAGACGCGATGTCCAGTGTCCACTATTTTCAATATTCGGATTGCGTCCATCCTTCAAACTTGTTATGTATGCCGTGCATACACAACTTAAAATCAAATGAACTCATGAATGGAATAATGACCACTATGCTCCTAAAGCTGTAGTGGCACACACACCATGATTCACGCATAAGAACTATACTACTACAAGTTTACAATGCAAATCTCTAAGCTACAATAACACGTCAACTTATAAAATACATTACCCTCATTACATAGCAAGTTCAAGTCCTTATCTCAACATCAACATAGCATAGAATATATACAACAATTTATAGGCATGCTTTATACATAAATCAAGTAATCTATCTACATAGGAATCACTAGATTTAAGTAACCACCATACATGAAAGTTTCTAGATTTAAGATTACCCAAAGGAATCAACACATACACAATATATAGGTTGTATACAAGCTATATTCATCATAAAACCCTAAGTTCATCATATACTAAAGCAACCTATATGCAAGTTCTAGAAGTAAAGCATGCATACAACATACATTTAACCCCAAAATAAGCATTAAAACACTAAGGGTATAAACATAGGACATCCCCTACCTCACTAGAGAATTGAATCTCTAGAATCCAAAGCAAATCAAGGTAAATCAAGAAACCTGACAAGAGTATTATAGAGGAGGATGAGGGGAAGCTTTCGTCTTCCAAGACTTAAGCCAAAAGGTGAGAGGAAATGGTTCAAAACCAAGGCTAAAGGTCTAGGTCTAAGGTGTTCTATAATGGAGGCAAGGTGGGAGAGAGAGAGAGAAACAGAAGAATACCTAAAATGAATTTAGTGTATTCCTCCACTCACTATGTGAGCTAGCACTACCTCTCACACACACACAACTCATCTCACCCCACCACTTGTCAATACCTCACACACCCTCATAAGATCACATCCTAAGCCTACACTTGTCACCATCTTAAGCCTCCTCACAAGGCTTTATCTAAGCCCTACACTTGTCAACATCCAAAGCCAACAAGTGCATCAATCGTAGGCCAACAAGTGGGTGAATCCTCACCCTCCCCATGTCATCATCCAAGGCTTCCAAGTGTCACCAATGGAATGATGACAATTGAACAAATGAGAGTGCGACACTTGTCACACTTTCAGGAAATTGCAAAAAGGTCCCCCCCTCTAAATATCTCAAGGAATAATTGCACAAAAGTCTCTAAGACGAAAAATAATTACAGCGGATAATTACGAAAAACACCCCAAGAAAAGAAAATGTTTCCGAAGAAACTATGCATCCATACCCCTACAAAAAAAAAAAAAAAAAAAAAAAAAAAAAAAAAAAAAAAAAACCATCTAGCACGCTTTCTACAAAAGTAAAGATACGCATTTCATGGAAATCAAATGGAGTGAACGCACGTGAAGTCGGAAGTCAAATCCGAGCACAAATCCTAAGGTCACGTGATGGGATACGATAAACAAACAAGTACTAATAAAAGAAAAGGAAGACGTCGTAAATGGAAAGGAGATGGCACCGTCATCACAAGGTTGATACCAATCTCTAAAAGAAAGAGTGTCGGAAACTATTCCCGAATACTCAAGACGACCCGAAGACCGAAGGGACAAAAAAAACAAAGAAAAAAAGAAAAGGTCAACGGAAAAAGAAAATCCGTAAAAACGGAAAAAAGGGAAGGAAAATGTCAAGGTCATTACATTAAATCTTACATATTTACATAATATGGCAAAAATTGGCAAAAGATGAAGACAAGATGGAAGTTAAGAATTCCAGGAACATCACCAAATGGATACATATGCAATCATGCATCTGGACAATTGGGGAAAAAAAAATACACACTCTTAAATTTCTATGGTTTCAGTCTTTCTCGAATGTCATGACATATTGATAATCGTTTTCGTAATGAATCAGTGCTTAGAACTCAGCATTTACGATTCTATGAGGTAGACATGTTAACAGATCAATAATGCAAAATCTTATTAGAGAGTCCACAATCCACACCAATAAACATTGTGCATGACTTATGCAAAGTCCAAATTTATTAGAACTCGACATCCCAACAAAAAAGATGTCGTACACACTAGTTGAGTTGAGAAAGTCATAATATACTTTCTCAAAAGGCCCCCAAAAGATTTGAATTTCACTATAAGCATTACAAATAATAGAATATAATTTTAAGAAAATATGTACCTCAGCCAACATGTGGTCAGCCTCATCAAAAACAAGAATCTTCATATAACTCATGCCCAATTTTTTTGCCTCCACCCATTTATTTATAGTTCCAGGCGTGCCAATCACCACTTGCTCCGTCACTGGTAGGCGCTTCTTAACTGTAATATAATTAGTGCTATCCATTGGCACAGCACATTTGGCAGTAATTCCTGTGATCTTTCCCATCTTCTGAAGAACTTTCATGTTCTGCACCATCACTCGCTACCATTAATAAAAATCCAGACCTCATAAAACTTAAAAAAAAACAAGCAAAATTATATATGCATCCATATACACCGTTCATCCCTCCTGCTACTACGGATTAAAACCTCAACTCAAACCCTAAAGAACAACATCAATTAAACCGTGAACACACAAACATGCCAAAGAACCATCTACGTTAATTAAGCCCTAAATTCATAAAAATTCCAAAGATCCAGCAGAATTGAACTATACATTAGGAATTACACACTACTGCACTGATAATAAATCAACACTGAAGTCTGAACTCAGTGTATTAAGAGTACACTTAATTAAACCCTGCGAACAAAGAGAACCATCCACTCACTATAATTAATTAAAAGTGAATGTAGAGAGAACAAAATATATAAATACATATCAATATACACATATATCTTATCTTTAAAATATCATCATTTAAACCATAAACTTGCAAAACAAAATTTCCATGTAGTCATACCATTAGTTAGGTGGTGTTTGATAAAACTGAAAATTAAGTACTGAAAATTTCAAGTACTGAATTTTAAGCATTGAATCTTTAAGCGCTGAATGTATTAATTTGAAAACCTGTTTGATAACATTTTAATTTTGAGTGCCGAATTCATTAAGATTGTTCGTTATATACAAAAGCTGAAGTCTGAAAGTTGTACATATTACATTTTTGCCCTTAATATCTGATACTCATAACAATTTTATATTTATAATACAAAAATATTAATAAAACAACCACATTCACTCAATGAAATAAATAAATATGAAAATTTTAAATATAAAAGTTTTGGATTGAATAATATTTAGGTAGGGTATTGAAAAGGGTTTTACAAAGATTAAAGAAAATACTTGAAAAAGAATTCTTATTTAGGAATAAAATTCAATTATATAAATAATTGATGGAAATTTTAAATATATTTGTTTTGGATTACATAATATTTTTGTAGGTATGATGTTACAGAAATTAAAGAAAGTAAAATTTAAAATATATGTGTTTTGAATTACATAATATTTTTGTAGGGTATTAAAAAATGTGTTACAAAAATTAAGGAAAGTGAAAAAGAATTCTTATCTAGGAACATAATTCTATTATATAAATAATTAATGAAAATTTAAAATATATAGGTTTTGGATATGAAAAAGATGTTACAAAAGATTAAAAAAAGTAAAATTTAAAATATATGGATTTTGGATTACATGGTAGGGTATTGGAAAGAGTATTAAGAAAGTACCTAAAAGACAATTTTTCTCCGAGAATAGAATTCTATTATATAAATAATTACATAATATTTATGTAGGGTATAAAAATAGTGTTAAAAAGAAAGTACGTTGAAATTGAATAGAATTCTATTCTATAAATTATTGTTTTCTATAGTGAATCAATATAAATGGTAACCAAAAGGCTATATATTCGTTTAAAATATATTAGGTAGTATTATGTTTTTTATTTTTTTGGAATTTGTTACATGTAATTCATTTTCCTTAGAAAAATCATAGAGAGAAACCTTAAAGAGAGAACACAATTATATGAGGGTAGAGTAGTTATTAAAAAGTTATTTTTTAAACTCAACCACTTACAGTCTTCTGCGATGATAAGACACATTTTTTTAAAAATCACTTACTGAATTAGCCCTTAGACCATAAAACATAACCGATAAATATATATAGAAAGAACACGTAAATGAAGTGCAATTTAAGACTCAAATCTGACCTAAAGAGTACCATTAACTAATAATTTCACAAGCACTCCAAGGAACAATCAGAATTCAAACACAAATACCATATAAAGATCAATACATATTTACTGTATATATATTCCAAACCTGAATGGCCAATTCTCTGGTAGGGCATATGCAAAGCGCCTGGAGAGCATTAAGCTTCGTATCTACACGGCTGAGCATGCCGAGCACGAAACAAGTGGTTTTACCAGAACCATTGTGTGCCTGAGCGAACAGGTTCTTGTAAGGCGGGGTGAGAATCATCGGCAGACTGAAGGCTTGGATCTTGCTTGGCCTCTCGAACTGCATCCCCACATATAAACCCTTCAGCAATTCTGGCGAGAGATTCAAGTCCTCGAACTTCTTTGCAGACGAATACAATATATCGCCGGTCGTGACCTGAAACGAAACAAACCCTAAACTAATCAAACTCGAAATCAAAAACCCCTAAATTAAGGAGATAAGGAAAAATAGAGCACACGGCTTTGATATTGGAATCCTCGAGGAACTTGTTCACTTTCTTCGAGTCGTCGATCACCAAGGAGTCCGAGATCGTGTCGGCCATTGTAGTTCTTGGCGAGTGTGCTCCCGAATCTTACTTTTTCGGCCTTCTTTGGTCCAGTAAATAAGTGTTGGGGGTGATGAGATCCGGATAGTCGTCGTCGCCGATGCTTATGCTTGAATCAGATTAGGTCGTGACTGAGAAAAGAGAGGGATTAGGGTTTAGGGTTATGCAGATATGAGCCCTCGAATCAATTATTTTAGGGTGTGTTTGGTAGGGTTGATTTGGAGGGATAGGGAGAGAAAAGAAAAGAAAAGAAAAGAAAGGATAGTGTAGTGTGTATTTGGGTAAGTTAAGTGGAGGGATAGGGAGAGATAGGGAGGGATAGCTATCCTTCCGTATCTTTCATTTGCTTTCTCCTCAATTTTGAGAAGATAGGGAGAGAAAGGATAGTGATTTAGTGGTATTTTGATAATACCAAAATTAGCCTCCACAAATCAATACACAAATTTATTATTCTATTCAAGTCCCGTGATTATAAAAGGATAAAAAAGTAATTTGTCTATTATCCTTTCTTTTCTTTTCTCTCCTCTATCTTATCCAAACAAGAATAACTATCATTTCTTTTCTTTTCTCCCCGGTCTATCCAAACACAAATAGAAATTATTACTATTCTTTCTTTTCTTTTCTTTTCTTTCCTCACTAAACTATCCTTTCTTTTCTTTTCTTTTATCTTATAACTAATACTATCCAAACACACAATATAAGAGTGTTAAAGGATAGGGTGTAAGCGTGGGCAGGAATCCTCTCCTCTTCCTGTTCCCGCCCGTTCGGATGTGTGGCCCAATCTGGGCCACGTAATTAAAAAAATTTGGCCCACAAAAAGTTACCTCGGTGATTACGGTAGTGTATGTACTGTGTATGTTACTGTAGGTATATATTATACTGTGTATTTATACTTGCATATATTTAAAATTTGAAAAATTTACTCAAATATCCTTGACATTCAAAAATATCCCAAATTATCCTTCATTTTCTAAGTCGGAAGGAGGATTTGGAAAACACAATTGAGGAGCGATTGAGGGGCGATTGGAGGACTTCGAATTTATCTGCGCCACTTCTTATAATATTCTTTCTTACTCTGCTTGCCCAATTTTTGTTCCTTGTTTCCAAATTTACAATTTCTTTCCAACACTGACGAATCGCCTCTTCGAAATATGTAATTTTCTTTTTGGTTTTTCTCTCCCGATTTGTCTTCCTTCTTTCCAAATTTACAATTTATTTCCAAATGTTTGATTGAACGTCGAAGAAGATGAAGCTACAGTGACAAATGTATAGCGTCTGTTCTGAATCTTCTTTGTTCTTCTCTCCCAAAATATAGAAAGAAATAAATTGGTCTTTCTTACATTGTCCCAGCTTTCGTTAATTTTCTTCTTTCCAAAATTACAATTTGTTTGGAAATGTTTGATTGAACGGCGGGGAAGAGGAAGGTGCAGTGTCGTGTGGTTGATTTAAGGCTGAGGAAGCGAAGTTACAGTGTACTGGTTTTGTAAGTGAATTTGTGAATCGTATGACATTGTGTTTCTTTAGTTTTGTTTAGTTATTCTTGAAGTGTTATTAAATTGTGAAAAATTGAATCAGAAATTGTGAAAATCATATTAATAAATTGTGAAAAAGTTGTTATATTCTATATTATATGTTATATTTTAAACTTCCATTTTAAGATGTTAGAATAAAATTCCCATTGTATTCCTGTAATGCAGTGTTTTAATCGTGGTAAATACTACAATATATTTGGGATATTCAGTATAATAAGAAATGGAGGTTTTACACTTCCAATTTAATATGTTAGAATAAATTTTCCATTGTATGAAATGTAAGTTTGCATTGAGAGTTATGATTGTTCATTATAAATAACTGAACATGGTTGTAATGTTTTTGAAAATAAGCCGAAGACCTTCCCATGATTTCCCACAAAGTAATGCTCCCACATTTCATCATTGTCAGTTACACAAGTGGGAAAAGTAAGGAAACAAATAAACAATTAAGTAAAAAATAACCTGTTGAGTAAATTAGATATATATATATATATTAATAAAAGAGTGAAGGAGAACGAATTCAGATTCTTTTCACCAAAACCTTCTGTTGTTGTTGGTTGTAACAGTGATTTGGATTTGAAAGCGGGCATTTTCTCATGTCTATTGACGTTGTTAGTGTATATGTTAGTGTATGTATATATTATACTGTGTATTTATACTTGCATATATTTAAAATTTGGGGGAATTTTCTTAAAATTTTGTTGATTGACAATTGGTGGAAAGGTTGTTTATGCATAATAGAGTGTGTTTTGCTGCGCTTTAAAGATTGATTTAGAAATGGGTCGCAAGAAGTCGATAGCTCGCAAGAAAGGTCCTTTACGAAAAAAATTACCTATACGGAAAAAAAAAAATGGACAATGTCGTTGATCCGCCTCCTTCTCCTACCCTTCAATGTATGATGCAAAGGATGCAGAATCAATCTTCTTTTGCGGGTTGTACACCCCCCCCCCCCCCTAAATCATCTAGTCCTGCTCATACTCGTAGTCGTACTCGTGATGAGGATTATAATGTTCGGGCAGACGAAGAGAATTATGATCTGCAGTCAAGCAGTAGCGCATCAGTCAATAATATGCGTCGTGGAGGAGGAGTTTACCTATTGTTCAAGTAAGTATACATTCATTTTAGTATTAATGTTAAGAATAGCATTTGTATCAATTATAGTTCTCTGTTGAGTAAATATAATTTTCAGTTGTCTGAAAGTTTAGTGAATATTTGATGCAACATGTTTATCTTTGAAATGATAAGTTGTGAAATAAGTTGTCAAGCATATCTATTGAATTGAAATGCTAATGTTGATTTGCTAATATTATATATGATATTGTGTGTATGAAGGCTGCTTTCATGAAGGAGTATCAACAAGTCCATGGGCAGTGAAGGGTGGGGATAAAAAAATATCCGAATTGAAATGTAAGGAAGCATGGAATGGTATGACCATGGTGGAGAAGCGTCCGTATTATGACGAAAAAATATTGCGTGATTCGGAGTTCAAAAGCCGTGGAGGGTTACTAGTGAACAAAAAGAAGAAGGAGAAGGTAAGTTGGGGAGTTTGATTAAATTTTTAATATAATTTGTTATTATTTTCATAACATAATATGAAGTATAAAAGAATATAATTGATGGTTCCTTACTGCTAGTAAAATGAAATTTGTAATGTGACGTTAAATTTATTGGGAAGTTGCAGGTTCAATACAAGGTGAAAAGTGGGTGGAACAAATGCTCACTCTCCAAATTTATTAACACGGTATGTACACTTGGAGACGAAAAGAGGAAGGATGTGGCAAATATAGGTTTTGGCAATTTGCTAAACCTAAAATGTGACCATTTGTCTACCTCACTCTTTGATTATATAATTGGGCATTTGGACATCAAGAAACGGCGCATTCAACTTGAAGATAATCAATATCTTCCAATAAATGCTATTGATGTCCAGAAAATCTTTGGCTTACCCGCTGGAATTAGGGACGTTCCTACATGTCAGCTTTTTAAAGCTGATTGGGTAACTGAAGGTGCATATCGAAGTGGGCTGCATGTAAATGATCTGATGGAAAGGGTACAACAATGTGAGCCTGGCGATGATTTCAAAAGAGCTTTTGTTCTTTTTGCATGTGTGGCTTTTCTAACGCCCAATGGGCGTTATAGTGCGCATGTGAAAGAATTAAAGACAGTGGATAATGTCAATGAAATCAAGTCATACAACTAGTGTACCTACGTGCTTGAAACTTTGGTGGCTCATTTGGGTGAATCTGAAGGAGGTGGAAAAATGAAGCACGAGTATATCGGATGCGTGCTCTTCTTGCAGGTAAATAACACAAGCTACTTATAATATGCAATTAACTTTATAATTTATGTCATTACTATGAATCATTACTGATTAAAGTCGGTACTTTTTAAATCAGTTTCTTTATCTGATGAGGTGTAAAGTGGAATACCGCTGTTATCCCAGCATGGGCGAAATAAGCAGTCTTCAGTTTTGGGACACAACCCTAGTACGGGAACGCTTTAAATGGGAGTTGAAAATGGGAGGTTTTGGAATGGGTGAGGTATGACACTAAATTTTACAAGTATTTGAAAGTTCCCAATTTATGTTGTATATGACACCGTTTCCTTATTTACGTACATTTGGTTTGAAATATTTATATGGAACAGTTAATTCCTTTCAAGGTGAATGTGCCCCACTGTCCGTCATCGTCGTGGTGTGGAGGTGAAAAAGATAATGGTAGTTGTTCGGAAAGTGAGGTTGAGGTAACGATATATTACTTTACGGTTAATGAGTGTGAATGAAATTGTGAATATGCAATTGATTAGTGTTTAATCCTTAAAATTTTGTATGCAGCGTTACGTTAAAGAAATTCGTAACGAAATGGAAAGATAAGCAGAAAACAGGAAAACGTTGAAGAGGAAGGTGGAGAAAATGAAGAGATTGGTGAAGAAAAAGTCGAAAAGGGCAGGAGGAAAACCGAGTGTTTGTACAGCAGATGGGGGAGTGTCCGTTGAGGATAAAGATGCGGCGCAAAATTCTGAAAATGAAGATGAGAGGGAAACATTTGGCGCTCCTGTTGAAGCAGGTGAGGCACCAGAATTTTGTGGTACAGATCATGCCCACTTTACTTCCAGCAGCAATGACATACTGAATGAGGATGAGAGGACAGAGTTGAATGATGTTGTGGGCATGGCTTTGGAGGAGAACGTAGGAGCAGCACATATAACTCCTAGTTGTCCAGTCATTGATATTTCGTCCCAAACTTTACATAGTAAAGGGAAGGATGCAGTGAGAGAAGTCAAAAGAGGTAGCAGGAGCAGAAACCCTGCAGCATACATGTTCTCTCCATGGGTATCGAGGGATACTAAGAAAATTCAATTGACTCCAAAGTAGAATAAATTATTGAGTTATGCTGCTGTGCGAGGTGGTGATCAAGATAAAGGGTAAGTGTAACCCACATTTCTGAATTTCCTAAGTCCATATATTGTTGTTCATTGTATTGTCCTTTGGGCCTTATTATTTACTAAGACCAATTGTATTACAAAACGTATACTAATTTGTAAGAATGATGTACATTTTGTAGTGAAATTCTAGTTTCCATGTACGATATGCATCTTACTCGGACGGACATACACGAGTTGTTTCACCCAAACTGGATCTCGAACTTGGTGCGTGCTTTTTCAATTCTTTG